CTCCCACTGGATCGATCCTATTGAAACATAAATCTGAACGTGTCACTCCTCTGCCCCAACCTCTAAAGGCTTCTCATCTTACTCAGACAGCAGTCAAAGCTATTGCCTTCCCCCACCTTCCTTCTGTACCCTCACCTTCTACAACTCTCCCCCTCACACTCTGCACCTTCCACACAAGCCTTCTTATTGTCCCTGAAACCCACCAATTATGATCCTTACACAGGACCTTTAAACACGTTTTACCACTGCCTTGTAGGTTTTCTGGGGCTCACTCACCCATCTTCCTCAGATCTTCTCTCAGATCTCCCACAGTCCATCTGACTTCCTTGACCATGATACTTAAAAAGATGATTCCTATCTCTTGCGTTCCCTGTTCCCCCATCCTTGCTCCATTTTTTCTTATAGAACTCATCATTATATAACATACAATATATTTATTTATTCAGTTTATTATCCATCTCTCACCACTAGTATATAAATTCCATGTAAGCAGGGACTTGTGGCTTATTTATAATGCTTTCCTCAGTGCCTAGAACAGTGCCAGATATATTGTTTTAGAAAATAATGAATACATTTCACGACCATGCTGTGAGACCAGGACTTGATGGTCACTCCATCTATTTAAAATTCTGTTTAATTGTTGACAGTGAGAGAACCACACATGCATCAAGAGTACGAGCAAGTTATTACTCATATAATGTGGCTTTCTCCGGAGAGCTTGGTGAGTTCCCAGGCTGATTCAAAAGTGGCTTCAGAGGGCAGGGAAATGATACTGGGTTGATGTTTTATTGTGGTTAAGGAGTAAAGCTATGGTGATGATTCTGTGCAAAGGTGGGGGTTTGTGGCATTTGGCCAAAGAAAGTAGTGCCTAAACTTTCTTAGCTTGTTCAGATGTGGGACAGGAAGGGAATGTGGACAATTGAGCTTGAAAACGTCAACGGTCAGACATCAAAAATAGAGGCAGACTTTATTACAGGACCCTTGGCAAGTACAGCCATCTGGGTGCTTTGTATTTCTCTAATTCTACCTGAAACCTAGCACATCAGCTCAGCAAGGGATCTTAGGATTCCAGGTAAATTGCTTTGTTTACCAGATGGAGAAGCCTGAGTCCAGTTCCACTATGTTGTCCTGTCTCTGTAAATTACAGTGTGAATTGGCTCAGGGGCGAGCTCCCCTAGGGGGCTTAAAAAAAATCTTGCACAATTTTCTTTGATTGTCAGAATCCTGGCCTGTAAAATTCTTATAATAATATCTGCAACCCATTTTGTCAGTGTGAGGGATTCAGTGGAAGAATGCTTATAAATTGCCAGCACATGGTGCTCTGTGAGTGGTCATTGTTAAGAATCAGAACACGATGGCCTCTGGCTAAAACCCATTTGGTCTGGGTATAGTTAAGAGAACAATTTTAAGTATAAAATAGACGTAATTATTTAATTTTCATAATTAATGGAAATTAGGACTACTGTTGTGGTTTTTATTTTTACTTTTTATTATGAAATGTTTCAAATAAATAGAAAAGTAGAAAGGTTAGCATAAGGAGCACACCAGTACCTTTTCTATAAAATTAAAACTGTTAATATAGTGCATGCCTTCTTTATTTTGTTGATTTATTTTGTTCCCATATTGTTTAAAAGTAAAATGGTGATGATATTTTATCCCAAAATGCATCAGTTTTCATCTTTTAAAACAAAGGACACAGTATCTTTATTTTGTCTACCAAAATAATGATTTCTTAATATTATTTACTATGAAACTATATTCACATGACATTATTCAAATTGTGTTAAGGCATCAGTGGAGAGTTTCATGAGGCCATGACTCAATTTCCCACTGGTAGATTTAAAACTCTTCACACCCTAGTGCACCATGCAATTGATTTCCTCCTTCATCACGAGAGGCAGATGAGGTTAGCAAATTGTGACTACTATATGTTTCCCAAAAGATAAATTAGAAATATTATAATATGGAGGACAAATATAAAATACAAAATTATACAAATTGAGCAAAAATTGTACCAGTGTTGTATTTAGGGTGATTTGATTTTAATTACATATGGTAAAGTCTGCCCACTGATCCTATCTCAAATGAGATAGTGAAGATTAGACAGAATGTCACCATCTCCCCCCAATTTTGCCTCAGAGCATGCTACAAAATGGCTCTGCTTGTACCCATAGAGTTTAACTGTGGTTTGGGGCATTCTACTCTGTGTATCAACCTCTTCAGTCCAGTGGAATGTCCTATAAGGTTGGAGTAAGAATCATGTACTTCTGTGCACGTATCTGGAATACTCTTACAGGGCAAAGATGGTTGGAAAGCAGTGAACATATGTGAGTGGAACTTAGCTTTGTCTTCATAAAAAGTGAAGTCAACAGTAGAGAACAGTGGAGTGCCTTGAGCTTTTAGTGTCTTGAAACCACTATTTCAATGCTTACTCTTTCTTTTTTTTTCCAATTAAGTTTATTGGTACAATTTAGGTATACAATACAGTTACATTCATCATTGGGATCGTGTACCTTTGCATGATGTATATTGATTCTTATTTTTTCCCCGTTCCCCTGCCCTCCCTTCACCCCCTCCACCCTTTCCTATTTACAAAGACTTTGTTTCCAGTTTTTTTCTTTTCTCATATTTTTTCTTTTCCCTTATCTTTCCCCTACCCCTCTCACTTCCCCTCCTCCTTTAGACCTTTTCTTCCTATTACATAGTATGAATTATACATTTTGATCCTTATTTACACTTTTAGTGTTTCACACTAGAGAAATTATTTGGTATTTACACATGTGTATCTTATTAATTTCACTTAAGAATATGGCCTCATTGTGCATCCACTTAGCTATAAATGTCTCTAGTTTCTCATTCTTTATGGCTGAGTAGTACTCCATTTTATAAAAAAAAAAACCCACATCTTCTTAATCCAACCTCCAGTCGATGGGCAATTGGGCTGCTTCCAAGTTTTAGCTATTACAAACTGTGCTGCTATAAACATGGGTGAGCATATATCACTATCGTATGATTCTTTTTTAATTATTTTGAGAAGATATCCAACAGAGGAATAGTGGGGTCAAGTGGGACCTCTAATCCTAGTTGTTTGAGGCATCTCCATATTGATTTCCATAGTGGTTGCATACTTCTGCACTCACAACAACAATGGAGAAGGGTTCCTTTCTCTCCATACCCCCACAAGCATTTGTTATTTGTTGATTTCTTGATAGCAGCCATTCTTTGGGGGGGTGAGGTGGAATCTCAGTGTTGTTTTCATCTGCATCTCTAGAATGACCAGTGAGGTTGAACATTTTTTCATATGTTTATTTACTGCTTTGACTTCTTTGAGAAATAATCTGTTTGTTTCAGATGTCCATTTTTGGATAGGGTCTTTATATTTGAGGGGTCTGGTTTTTTGAATTCTTTATGTATTCTACATAGTAGACTTTTGTCTGAGGAACAGTGGGTAAAAATTTTTTCCCGCATTGTGGGTTGTCTCTTAGCTCTGTTGGTGGTTTCTCTTGCAGTGCAGATGCTTGTTAAAAAGATGATATCCCAGTTGTTGATTCTTTGTGCTAGTTTCCATGCCACTGAGGATTTGTTCATAAAGACTTTTCCTATGCCAATATCTTTAAGAGTTCTTCTACCTAAATTATCTTCCAGCAAGTTTAGTGTTTCTGTTCTAATATTTAGATCTTTAATCCACTTCAATTTTAGTTTAGTGCAAGGTGAAAGATAGTGGGCTAAGTTTAATCCTTGGCAAGTTGAAATCTAGTTTTTCCAACACCATTTATTAGAGAGGCTATCTTTCTTCCAGTGACGATGGTTTGGCTCCTTTATCAAAAATAAGTTAGCTGAGTATCTGGAGTTGTTTCTGTTTCTTCTAATCAATTCCACTGATCCTTGGGTCTGTTTCTTTGCCAGTACCATGCTGTCTTTATCACAGTGGCTTTGTAGTATAGTTTCAAGTTGGGGTTTGTGATACCCCCAGCCATATCTCTGTTGCCTAGAATTGCTTTTGCTATTTTAGGTCTCTTCTGATTCCAAATGAATTTTTGGATTGTTTTCTCTAGTTCTGTGAAGTAAACTATTGGGAGTGAAATTAGGGAAACAATTCCTTTCACAATAGCACCTCAAAAAAGAAATATCTAGGAATCAATCAAACAAAGGAAGCAAAAGACCTATATATTGAGAAATACAGTACTCTGAAAAAAGAGATCAAAGAGGATATAAGAAAATGGAAAGACATACCCTGTTCCTGGGTGGGAAGAACCAATATGGTGAAAATGGCCATACTTCCAAAACTGCTATGCAGATTCAATGCTTACTCTATTTTCAAGCATATTAAAGGTTAAGTTTCAGTTTATATAAAGTACAATCAATAGATGTTAAGTGTGCATTTCAATCAATGTTTAAAAGTGCATATACACATGTAACCCACAAACTTGGTGAAGGTATGAAGTATTCCCATTGCCTCAGAAAATTCCCCGGTGCTCCTTCCCAGTCAGTCATCCTCTCCATGAGCAACAACCATTTTAATTTCTGCCACTTTGGGTTGCTTTTTTCTAAACTAGCTATGTCTAGCTTCTTTCATTCAACATAATGTTTATGATAGTTTCTTCCTTTTTTGTTACTAATTCTCCATTGTAATCCATAATATCCTATATAATTATAGTTTATTTTTTCATTGTTTGGATGGACATTTTTCTATATTTGAAAGAATTAAAACTAAACATAACTCCCAAAATGAAACAATGTCCCATTATTGCCAGAACCTGAGCAAGAGGGTGGAGAAATGGATAGGCTTTCAAAAGAAAGTTTAGTCCATGTGCACAAACTTGCATCTACTTTCCTCAATTCTTCACTTTGCTCTGCTTGCAAATTCCCTACTAGAGAGGTTGGAGAGCTCTAAAGATTGTGACTATTCAGTTGAAATTGTGCCAATTTCTCATAATTTTGTTTCACATTTTAGATTTCTTTTTTCAAATTACTTCTTTTTTCTTTTCCTTTTATTGTAGGTTTTGCACTTCTGGGAGGACATCCTTGCTTTCTTACCACTCAAGATATTCATTTGGGTGTGAATGAAAGTCTCATGGACACAGCTCGGTTTGTAAATCTTTTCTTCTCTCCAAAATTTATTTCAAAATCTGATGGATAAATTTCAAAAAGAAAGCATGCTTTAAATGACAATTTTCCCTCTCAGAATCCTATGTGCTATTTTCCATTTTACATCTTGGTCTGATGTTTGGAATGACTCCTTCTTATCCTCCAGCCACTTTTTCATGAGTTTAATACTGTTTTTTTCTTATAAAAATTTTAAGAGCTTCTGAGCAGAAAATTTCAAACTTAGTATGACTCAAAAATTATCAAGCATGACTTACATTTAGTAGTTAAGAAAATGGAGGTCCAACGAAATTGACAGGTTCAATGACTTATAATTAGTGTATATCAAAATAGATAATAATATAAATAGCTAGAGTTTATTGAGCATTTATTACATGTCAGGCATTGTTCTAACTCAATTAATCATTACAACAACCTAAACAGATTGACATAAAGGGGAGAAACAACCTAATTTGAACTATGCTAGCTGCTATAGCACAAAATCTCAAATGTCAATGTCTTAACATAGTGCAGATATTCCTGACTAGTAAGACAGAAGGACAGATTATTTTAGTTCTGCGGTCATTTGGGAACTCTGGCTGAGAGTGGCTCTGCCATCTTCAATATGTGGCCTCCAGTATCACCATGGATATCCACTTCTCTAGGAGAAGAAAGCATGGAGAAAGGCATACTTGCTTCAAAGCTACCTTAGCAGGGAAGTGGCACAGTCAGTCCTGTTCACATTCCATTAACAAGTACTAGTAGCTCATCTTCACCAAGATGAAAGGAGAGATGGCAAAAGGCTCTTGCCCAGTATATTATAATGAAAGATGGAAAATAGGCCTTCTGACTCTTCATGCCATGCTCTCACCACTACAGCCTGTCTGGTTCAGAATCCAGGGCAAATGTCTTCGCTAAATGTTTTTTATTTCTTCTCAGAAGAGAAGACAATGATTATTTTTTTCCTGAAAATGATGTGTTATAAGTAACTCCTTGCAAGTGTTGTCTGCTTTTTGGCGAAAAACTTAGTATATATGAAAGAATTCACCTTACTTCACTTGCTAAAGTGATTGCAAGTAACTCATATTTAAACCCCTTAGTTGTGTTATTTTTAGATGTGACAGTGACTATATTAAGAAGCAGTCTATCTTCTGGATACTAGGGACAGAAAGAATAAATAAACATAAATGAGGTTTTGCTTGAAATACACTGTCACAGACTGGGATTTCTTCTATGAAAATGAAACATTATTAAGAAACAAATATCAAAATCAGGTTGAGAGATGAAGCCAGAGAAATTTCAATCCGGATCCTTTACATAGGATGAGGTGAACTATTTGGACTGTCATGCATGAACTAGTGGTTGGAAACATGTCCAGTTGAAGGAACAGTTGAGCATCCAAGGAAGAGTTAACCAGTGCAGACTGGCAGCCAGAGTAAGGTCAGGGCCCAGAAATCAGTAGAGTGGACAGGATCCCAAAGCAAGAGACAAATGGCCAAGCATAGATTGAAAGCTGAGGATGAGCATAAACGTGGTCTTTTTTGTGCCTGCTCTCCATGCAGTTCTCACTACAAGACCTTAAAGGAGCTCTACATAAATCCTGAGAGAAACAATCCACTCACAACTTTTAGCATAATTGCGGCTTTTTATTCCATATAATTAGATTCATTGCTACTTGAATATATAAATTCATAAGATTGGATCCATGTAATTTCTTCTGACCATTTTGCTTTATCCAAAAGACTAAATGAAAATAATGGTTACTCCCTAAGAACATCTACTATAGATGACTTATGTAATTACTTCTAAATTTTGGTTAAAAATCTTACAAAGTAAATACTATTGACCCAGTTTTATAGATGAGGAAACCATGGGTCAGAGGAATAATGGAGCTTAGAAGTTAAGTCAGGATTTAAATCATGCTGTCTTTTTTGCTTTTTCTATTCAGCTTATAATGTCAGTGGAAATCATTGGCTTGTGTATCAGCAGTTCTCTAAGACCACCCTGAGGTGGCTTCACAGGGCTCAACAAAGTCATACTCATGGCTACTGTTTACTGCAGCAAAAGGATACCAAGCACAATCAGCAAGGGGGAAAGACACATGTGGTAAAGTTCAGGGGATTTGGGCTCAGCCTGGGGAGTATAGCAGTTTAGTAAGAACCTGCCTCAAAATAAAAAATGAAAAAAGGATAGTAGTGGTATCTAAATATGTAGCTCAATGTAGAAGCCCTGGCTCAAGTCCCCAGTACAAAAAAAAAAAGTCCCGGGGAAGCCAGATTTAAATTTTCAAAACTCTTCCCGTAGTGGAGTCACATAGGATATACTTGATTCCTTTCGTAATCAGTTATGACTAAGCATGTGAAATGTTGCCAACAAAGGAAGCTCATAAGAGACTCAGCACATAGGATTTTTATTAGGGCTGGTGACATTGATACTCTCTGCCCAGCGTGTGTCCAAATTCCAGATCCCCAAAAGAAAATCAGGTGTTTACTTTAAGCCAGATAGTTCTTTAAAAAATTAGGCAGAGGGAGCCATGCTTATTAGTCCTGGGAATGGTGGAAACTTCTCAAATTGAAGCTCCCAGATGTGATTTGGGAGCCAACCTTGCATACAGATCTTTCAAAGGTTAGCAGTCAGACCTTAGACTGGAAAATCAGAACAGTTGAGATCTAACCTCAGCTCAGCCACTTACTTACCTACCAGAGACCTTCATTGGTAAACTTTTCTCTGGGATCTTTGTTTGCTTTTGTATAAAATAAATTAATTTTGATCCCCATATATTGCCAAATGCATGTAATATATTAGATATAAAATAGTGGTCCTTAAACAAAAGTATGCCCCTAGGTAAACTATATACAGACAAGTGCAATGTAACTCAGATCAAAGTAGAGAGATTAATTCCAGAGGTTCTAAAACTTAGTTTGGAATGTATGTTGGAAAACTTGTTAAAATGTAGAATTCTGGACCTGATGCTCAGAAATGCTAATTCTTCAGTTAAGTTTCAGATAGTGTATGAGAATCTGCATTTTAACAAGCTTCCGAAGTGATTCTGATGCAAGAATAGCCACACCACACTTTTAAGAGACCACACTTTGGGAGGTGTGGCAACCTGAGCTGTTGTGCTATGAATCTAGGCTAGAGATTTTTGTATGCTTTTAGGATAACTGATTGTGAAGGTTGAAGGTTGAGTAGAAAATTGAGGTAAAATGATTCCAGATTTGTTACTCTTATTGTGTGTGTGTGTGTGTGTGTGTGTGTGTGTGTGTGTGTGTGTACAGAAACAGAAAACTGAAACTACCTTCTGATTCAGAGTAAAGGAATAGATTAGGTATTGGACAGATCATATTAAAGGTTGACCCTCCAAGTGTAATGTCTGCAAGCCATTGGAATAAAAGACCTTGGGTAATACTGTGAGCCAGAGAAATATAAGTATATATAAGCTCAGTGGTTAAAAAAAAAAAAAGAGCCCCACAGTCTCCTTGAGGGAGAATCGCAAAAAGCTGTGTCTTGAAGGCAGATGCAATTACAGGAAAAGGAAAATAAAGGTGGTATAATATTAGAGGAAACTGTGATGGGAGATGGAGAATATCAGAAATGGGGGGTAGTATAGCTCCTTTTGAAATCTGACTTTCTTCTGTGTACCCCATTACTCCTTAATCTTCCAAAATATTTGACAAACAAGATATGCTGAAGCTCATAAATTTAATAAACTCAAATTGAAGAAGACAAAAGAAATCCACTGCCTTCCACAGAAGCACTTGAATGTGAGAAGTAAAGAAGTGAATCTTAACGATATCTACTCTGCAATAGGCCCCGAACAACCCTTAGCAATCGCCTTCCTTACTTTTTGTAGAAGTTTAACTTTTAAGATGCAAAGGGATGAGGTGATGTTTAAATGACAAGGCTTGCCCTTTCAAGTCAAGAGAATAGTGTGCACCCGACACTGATTGATGCTATTGCTTTTTCAATTTACCTGTCTGGCTGCTTTGGGCATCTGGTGGAATAAAAAGTGTCTGTGCATTTGGTACAGAAAGAAACTCAGAAGGAATTGAGTGAGTGCAGCAATAGAAATGGAAACATAAAAAAGCAAAACTGGTCTGGTCTTTTGAAAGCTGTTAAATGCAATTCCAAAAGAGTGGCTTATTTTTTGAAACGATTTAATTATTCACTCATTCAAAAATAGTTATTGAATGCCTGGTTTGTCTTCCAGACATTGTTTTAGCACTAAGAATAAAACGCTGATCAAGTCAAACAAGATGTTCTTTGGCGTTGAAATACCTTCTAAAGTGAGGAGGCATTTACAAAACAAGTAAATAAAGCAAAAGATAGAAGAGCAGGTTGAAATAAATGCTGTGATGAAGCAGTGATCTGTGCGTGGGCTAGAGCCTACCTTAGATTGGGTGGTTAGAAAGTGCTTCTTTGAAGAGGTGGCTGTCAATTTGAGAACTCAATGAAAAGCCAGGGTCAGGCATGAAAAGCTGTGGGAAGAGCACCACAGACAAAAAGCTACTGTTATAAATGCCTAAGACAGCAACAAGCTGGGTGCACTCAGGAATGGAAGAGCTAACAATATTCTATAATCTGCAAATAAACATATCTTAAACCTGAAAATTACTCTATACATATATAATATATACACATATAATTATACATATATCTAGATACAGATATAGTCATATATCCTTATATGTTGGTCCTCAGAACCACCAAAGGAAGGAAAAATAAAATCAGATCATACGATTAAAATCCTAAATACTAAATAAAACCTAAACATCTAGGTATTCAAAAATGTACAGCAGATCTGTAGAACTTATTCATTCATCTTGCACAACTGATGCTTTATACCCTTTTAATGGCAAGTCCCATTCACCCTAGTAAGCACCATTCTCTTTGCTTCTATGGATTGACTATTTTAGATACCTCATGTAAGTAGAATCATGCAATAGATTTTGTGACTGGATTATTTCATTTAGCATAATGTCTTCCAGCTTCATGTTTGTTTT